AACTTAGCGAGACCATCTCAAAGCAAAAAATAAAAAGAGGGCTGGGGATGTAGCTCAGTGATAAAGCACCCCTGGGTTCAATAAATAAATAAATGTTTGGTAGTTAGTAAAAATTATAACACTGACAAACTTTTTAATGGTGAAGGGTAAAGGAATGTATAAAACAGTAAGGTTTTTTTTGTCACTTGTAGTAATATATTAAGTAGACTAGGAAGATAAAACAGATTAACTGAATAGTCCTATAACTAATGAAATCAGACTTACTCCAAGCACTGACAACTTTCACCCAATATTTAAAGAAGAGACAGCATCAATATCTCTAGAAAACAGATTAGGAGGGGACACACACTTCCCAAACCATTTTATAGGACCAGCATTATCCTGATACCAAACCCATTCAAAGACAGTGCAAGAAAAATATGAGCCAACATCCCCAACAAGCACAGTTGCAAAATCTTCATCAAAATAATAGCAAATTGAATCCAGTGATAAAGAGAATACACCATATCAACTAAGATTTATCCTAAGAATGCTAGGTGGGTCAATCTTCAAAAATCAATTTAATTCACTATTATCAAATGAAATGGAAAGAAGTCCAAAATATACTATTAAGTGAGAAAGAAAGGAGATGGGAGGAAGGGTAATTGTCTACTATTATAAAACAGTGGATTTAATATGTCTCAATTTCTATTCCTATGTTTCACCTCTACCCATATTTTTTATTGGTGCATTGTCAATTTCTATTCTAGTTTCCTTTTGTTTTTGTGGCGCTGGGGATTGAACCCAGGGCTTTGTGCATGCAAGGCAAGCACTCTACCAACTGAGCTAGCCCAATTTCTATTCTTAAAAAAGTACATATTCTACCAGCATGCCTCTAATCCCAGCAACCCAGGAGACGGAGGAGGTAGCAGGATCCCAAGTTCAAGGCCAGCTTCAGTAACTTATCTCGGCCCCAAGCAACTTAGTGAGACCTGGTCTCAAAATAAAATAATTTAAAAGGGAGTGGGGGTTGGATATGTGACTCACTGGTGAAGTGGCTCTGGGTTCAACTTCCCAGTAACAACAACAACAACAAAGTACATATTCATATGTAATTAGCAAAGTAAGTTTAAAAAAAAAAAGTAAAAGAAAAGATATGCATCAAATTATTAACAGTGGTTACATCTTGGAATAGGACTGGTTGGTGGTGATAACTGGGGTATGTATAGTTAAACTTGGTCTGAATGTTTTTAAACTATGAACATGCCTTGCTTTTATTAACTATTAAAAGTAAAACAGGAGTTTTTTTTTTTTTGCTTTTATAGTATTTGAAAAATAGAGAGTAAAGTTTAGAAGGTCAGCTGAGAAATCAGGCTACTAAACTAGTCATGAAGATAACAGATGGTAGTGATTACACATTAAAAACTAGACGGTCCTAGCAAAGTATACCCACTGGTGATGAAATGGCATGAAAGATAATTAAACTTATGTGCCAACAGACATCTGAATAGAATTGATGCCAAAGGAAATAACCTTGTAACCATGGGCCTAATAAACAGATTTTTTTTTTTTTTTTTGAGAGAGAGAGAGAGAGAGAGAGAGAATTTTTTAATATTTATTTTTTAGTTTTCGGCGGACACAACATCTTTATTTGTATGTGGTGCTGAGGATCGAACCCAGCGCCGCGCGCATGCCAGGCAAGCATGCTACCGCTTGAGCCACATCCCCAGCCCAATAAGCAGACTTCTAAGCTAAAAATATTTAACTAAAAGTTGTATTTGAGGGCTGGGGTTGTGGCTCAGTATAATAGAGCATTTGCCTAGCATGTGTGAGGCACTGGATTCAATTCTCAGCACCGTGTATAAATAAACAAATAAGATAAAGATTCATCAAAAATAAAAAAAAAAATTTTTTTAAAGTTGTATTTGAATGGGCTGGGGATGTGGCTCAAGCGGTAGCACGCTCGCTTGGCATGCATGCAGCCTGGGTTCGATCCTCAGCACCACATACAAACAAAGATGTTGTGTCTGCCGAAAACTAAAAAATAAATATTAAAATTCTAAATAAATAAATAAAAATAAAAAGTTGTATTTGAGGATGTAAACTTAAACCATGAAATTGAACGTAATTTTCCATGAGAGAAAAACAGTTCAATGTATGAGATTCAAAACTGGTGAGCCTTAGGAGAAACTGCAAAGACCGAGGTAGGGAGATAAGTGAACATCAAAAAGAATGTCAAGCAGAAGAGGGTGACTAATAAGCCAATGGCAATAAGGTCCAGAGAAATTAAGTTCAAAATACTGGCAACCAGAAGACAAGCAGTTTCCACAGAGGCATAAATCCAAAAGAGGTTGGATTTGACAGGAGTCTTAGGTATTGGCTCTGCATCAATCCAGGCCAAACTCTGGGCTCAAAGCCCCATAGTGACCTAGCTTCCAACCCACACTAGCCTCGTGAGCCCTCCCAACACTCCTCATATGAAAAACTGGGATAACAGTAGGGCCTGTTCCATTGAGCTGGTGTGAGGATGAAATGAAACCAGGCAGATATAGTTTGCATAGCTTGCTATATTGTCCTCTACACACCATTTCCTGAGGCTGGGAAAATCCATTCATGCTTAAAATTAGAGGGGAGGGGTCGTTTAAAGATGTTGCTTTCTTGGAGCTGGGGTTGTGGCTCAGGGGTAGAGCGCTTGCCTTGCACATGTGAGACCCTGCGTTCAATCCTCAGCACCACATAAAAATAAATAAAGATATTGTGTCCATGTATAACTAAAAAAATATTTTTTAAAAAAAGATGTTGCTTTCTCTTTTATATGTGAAAGTATGAAACACACAGAAATTTAACAGTTTCCTAAGATCACCAGGAAAAAGAACTCAGGAAATGCAATACTGAGTCCAGAGCCCCATCTATTCAATTACACAGGAATTTTGAAAAAGAAAAAAAATCTGGAAGTAATTTCTAGATTACAAAAAAGGTAAAATTCCATCCCCTTATAAAATCCAAAAAAGAAACAGAAGAACAAAAGTACCATATGATTTAAAAAAAAAATTCACTAAGCAATTCTAATAAAGCAGAGAAATGGAACCAGCAGTAAGCACTTCCATGTTGATAAAACACATAAAGAAAACTAAGAAAGAGCATACTTAAAGCAGGGGGAGAGTTCCAATCACTTGCTCTGGCTTACTGAGAATTGACAACAACCCATTATCATACATACCTCCATCTTCAATGGTCATCATGTGATAATGTCAGACCACAAATACTCACCACTTTAGGCTAACATATATGCCCAATCAGAAGTTGAACAAGTAAGGCTAAATTCTATATTACTTTAGAGCTTGTGAGCTTTGAAAGGATGTTTGATCTTAACTAAATTAAGACATTTGTTTTATGGATTAAGAATATAGCTGAGTGGTAGAATGCTTGCCTAGCAAGGTCCCAGATTCAATCTCCAGGATCAAAAAACAAATAATAAATGAAATAAAATGAATTTTAGAAATACATATGCATGCCTATAAAAATTAGCATAGTTTTAAAAAAATTCGGGCTAGGGATGTGGCTCAAGCAGTAGCGCGCTTGCCTGGCATTTGCGGGACGCTGGGTTCGATCTTCAACACCACATAAAAATAAAATAAAGATATTATGTCCACCTAAAAACTAAAAATAAATATTTAAAAAAAAAAATCAATGCTGGTGAACGTGGGGGAAAGTACAAATTGATACAACCTTTTGGATAAAGTTAGCATACTGAGAGTTAAAACACAGTTAATTTGCCCCCAAAATTCCATGTTTAGGCCTGTACTCTAAGGAAATAATTTTAAAAATTCTACGCATAAAGATATCATTTTTTAAAATAGCGGATAACTGAAAACAACTCAAAATATCCAATATCAGAGAAACTAGAAAACATAAATTACAATATATTCATTGAGTCAATAATTATGCAGCCATAGAAATTTTTTCTAAGAATTTATAATATGGGAAAATGCTTATATCAGAGTAAAAGTTAAGAAAGGACACATACTGACTATCTACTTTAAACATGTTAAAAATATATACAGGAAAATACTAGAAGGAAATGAGTAGACTCCATTATTTGGAAAGTTAACATTTATAATTTATATTATTTGAGAATGACCTTAAAGCTCTATAATGTCTAGTAAACTGTAAATTTTCTGAGACTTGAGTCTGAAACATGTGCCAAAGGGCTGAGATTTAGGAGTCACTTAGTGAGAGAACAAGGGGAGGAGAGGCTGGGGGTTGTAACTGTGTCTTTCCTGTACAACCCCTTGACCTCACTTTGCAAGGAAAGAAAGAGTGCTACCACAGGAAGGACGGTACGTGAATGGAAAGCAATTTAGAACCAAGGTATGAATGCTAGTGTTAGACTCACCAAGGAGTCTAACACTAGCATCTGAAGGTGACCTTATTCTATATTCAAATGTGAGACTCTGAATTCTTTTGGTTATAACTAATTTTATGGGGACAATTACCTTATGCTATTTTTTTGGTTGCGGGGTTGGCATTACCGGAGATTGAACTCAGGGACACTGGACCACTGAGCCATATCCCCAGCCCTATTTTGTATTTTATTTAGAGACAAGCAACTCACTGAGTTGCTTAGTGCCTCACTTTTTGCTGAGGCTGGCTTTGAACTTGCGATCCTCCTGCCTCAACTTCTGGGATAACAGGCATGCACTACTAAGCCTGGCTCCTTTTGCTATTTGTGAATTGAGCTGATACACAAAGGTTTTAAAGTATATGCCTGCAGAATATCATAAATGTACCATGAACTGAAATGTTAAAACCACTTAGACTGTGATATTACATGAAAATATTTGTTTCACATTTATGCCTTTTTTTATTTTTAAAATGTTCCACAATGAGGGGAAGGTAAATAAAAACTAACTTAGGTCTAAAAGATAAGACCTTTTTCTTTACTAAACCAAGAAAGATATGTGACAAGAAGATGCACTCATCACAGAACAAGGCAGAAAGCAAGCATTATCACAGCTCACCTTATAGCACCTGTATTTATATAGAACCACCAAGAGGATAGTCATGACGACAATGACACTGATCATGATGGCAGCATTCAGAATTGAGTGCAGGGCTCTCTGTCCCACAGTCTCGGTGTCTTCCGTGAAAGGAGTATAGATTCTATAATAAAACAAAACACAAAAGCCCTGGTTAAGTAAGTGTTATTGGATATCCCAAACCACATATTCCCTCCAACACTATAATTTTGTTTTCCTTTTGATTAATGTCTTGTAAGTCATTTTTTGCCCATTTCACTAGTCTAGCTCAGAATTTTTAACCTAAGAAAATAGCTATACTCTAATAGTTGCTTCAAAATAAAATGAAATATCTAAGATATGGAGAGATGAACTTATGTGAGCCAGGCATTGGCTCCACCTAGTGGATGCTTTGTACTGAAATAATTGCCTTATCAAATGTATTCTCCACTGTTTATTAATCTGTTACATAATCAGATTCTGCAACATTACTTACCTAGGTTGACAAATGGTTGGCAAAGGAAGACAATATGGTGCATAATTATTGTCTTTCATCTGTAGAGTGATGAGAACTAGAGTTGTTTTGAGACAATGTCACATATCCACCTTCCCTTATCTCACTCATATAAAAATACTTCCAGGTGCCAATGTATCCCGCTAAAAGACTTTATTTCTGATTCCCTTGTAGTTAGATATGGCCATGACACTAAGGAATGGCCAATGAATTTTAATAGATGTTGTGTAAAGAGCTTCTGAGGAAGAGTACATTCTGCTGAGAGGGAGAAGTCCTCTGCCTTTTTCTCCCCCACTACTTTCTGCTTTCTGGATGAAGGGAGGGGCTCCATTCTGGAGTCTGAAGTAACCTTTGAGAGGAAGGAAGGAAGGAAGGAAGGAAGGAAGGGAGGGAGGGAGGGCGGGCGGGCTGAGAACTTGATGAACATAAAGCTGCTATACCAATCTGGACAGCCTACCTCTGTGCTGCTCTATGGGTAAGAGAAAAAGGTACCATTTAAACCAGTTTTGTCTCTAACAGGGTCAGCAAACTTTCTATAAAGGGCCAGATAGTAAATATTTTTAGTTTTATTGGTCACATGGTCTCTTGCTACTGAGGTATGAAAGTAGCCATAGACACAAATAAATAAATGGACATGGTCTTTTTCCAGTGAAAGTTTATTCACAAAAATAGGAGGCAGGCAGAGCTGACCTACTGGTTGGGGCTTGCCAACCCTTGTCCTGTAGTATGAAGCCAAACCTAGTCTTGATTTATACAGATACTATTCCCCAATCCCTTAGGCTACTTCCTCTTACCCCTGCCCTTCACTCATGTCTCAGCCATACTACCAGAAGGCTAATAGCACGGCTTTCAGAACACCATGCAGTTTTTCAGACATTTCCCAAATTCACATTCTAAAACTCAAGTTCTTAGAGACAGGACTAGATGACATCTGAATTGGAGCATTTTTCTTGGTGGCCAAGGGCAACACCAACAGCACTGTGGAATCTACATGATAGTTCCCCAACTCTAGAGAGTGCTAGGTTACATTAGATATTCATTCTTACAATTAACAACTTTTTTTTTCCTGAGTATTTATTTCTGGAGACAAAGTGCTCTCATGGGCCTTACTATAAAGGAAATCACACATTAAATAATGTAAATAAATATATTTTTGCAAATTGTGACAAATAAGAAAGAATAGGCTGCTGTGAGAAAGAATATTAGGAAGGAGGTGTTAGGAGATGAGGGAAGTTACTTTTGATGATTTAACATTTAAGCCAAAATGAGAAGAAATCTATCCACCAAAATTAGAAAAGAAAAGAACATTCCAAACAAGAACAATGGCCCTATGGCCCTGAGGAAGGAAAATCATGCTTAATTTGTTCAATTCCAAATAAATTCAGCCCTATCCAATGACACCATCCATGAAACGATTGCAGCGTTCATTTTCCCACTTAAAGCACCAAGTAATAACCCCCTAATTCTCTCTATTGCCTCTGGCCATCAGAGAAATGGACTCCTTCATGCTCCTTCGGTGCAGAGGCCCTCAAGGTGATGATAACACAGTGAGGAAAAGCCACATGGCCTTAAGAACAATGAAACAAAACACTCATACATACAGCTGTCCATCTTTCCGAGTATAAAAGCTGACAGATTTGATGGTAGCCACCACCACCACCATGCAGAGAGTCACAGGGACAAACAGCATGATGACATGTTTGGCGCCATATTTCAGTGTCAGCTCCTCATCCTCTTCCTCATCTTGCTCCACCACCTGCCGTGAGTTACCCTGCGGTCGGCCATTAGATACTGGTTCAGGGTTCCCAGGTCTTCGTCGATCACCATGATCCTGCCGTTCTCGATTATCATTCTAAAAGCACAAGAAAAATATTGTTAATAAATCAGACCCTCAGCAGAATAATGGGTTCTATATCAAAAACAAAATATGTAACAATTAGGCCAGTCATTAATTGAGTTCTAAAAACTTGAGACAAGAAAGAGCCAACTTGCAGGCAGTGTGCAGTTCAAAAGTTATTTTTGTATGCGGTGCTGAGGATTGAACCCAGTTCAAAAGTCTAGATGGTTTACCATTGTCTTGGCTCACCCCACTCTCTCCTCCCATTCTCAGCCTAAGCCAACTGAACTGAACTTTAAGGTTTGTCTTACAAACTGACACCACTATCAAACCTTTATCTGTAGCAGTTGCAAGCAAAGTAGGCTCACCTTTTCACATTCAAGAAGTGTCTTTAGGCAGGTTCACATCAGTTACACAAGGAACTATCTAACCTCCATTATTAACAACACTAAAATCCATGCTGCTCAAGGAATCTCTCTGCATTAGTTCTATATGCTATTCTATAGCATATAAAGTTACAATTATCTTCACAAACACATTTAAATTTTTAATATATCAAAAATTGAAAAAACTCCCCTAGAGAGCAACTAGGCCTTAATTCTGATGGTCCATGTCTTTATTTTCCACATCCTGACTATACTCTATATAAGGGAACAATAAATAAATACTTAATGAATGACTGATGAATGAAATTAGAAACTTTCTGAGATTCTACTTTCCTCAAACTCTTAAGCCAGATACAATTTTGTTACTTTTATATTTATCCTGGTCTTTAATTTACTTTCTTTCTTTCCTTCTTTCTCTCTTTCTTCCTCACACCCTCTCCCCACCCCTTCACTTTCTTTTCTTTTTTACAGTGCTGGGGGACCAAACACAGGCCCTCCAACGTGCTAGGTACTTCCTAGCACTGAGCTACTTCCTAGGTTCCTGGGCTTATCTTTTCTTATTCTTTAAGTTGAATTTTTCTTTTGCTATCAAGGTTCCTATCTTAAAACTTGGTTTTTGTAAAGGGTTGAATAAATAACAAAGGCAACAATAATATATATAGGGACTGGGGTTGTGGCTCAGCGGTACAGCGCTTGTCTAGCGCATGTGAGGCCCCGGGTTTGATCCTCAGCACCACATAAAAATAAATAAATAAAATAAAGGTACTGTGTCTAACTACAGCTAAAATATAAGTATTAAATGTTTTTAAAAAATAATAGGTGGGCTGGGGTTGTGGCTCAGCGGTACAGCGCTCGCCTCGCATGTGCGAGACCCTGGGTTCGATCCTCAGCACCGCATACAAAAATAAACAAGTGAAATAAAGGTGTTGTTTCCAACTACAACTAAAAAATAAATATTAAAAAAAATAATAGGTGACAGAAAAGGAAAAAAAAAACAAAAACCTAGGTACCCCTCCTTCTGATGGGTAAGTGAACAGAAGGTAGACTGTTGGTCCCTGTTACTCTGGGGATTGAACTTAGGGGTACCATACCACTGAGCAACCCCCTGACAAATCCTTTGTATTTTTTATTTTGAGGCAGAGTCTCATTAATAACACTAAAATCCATGCTAAGACTGGCCTCAAATTTGCAATCCTCCTGCCTCAGCTTCTGAGTCCCTGGGATTATAGGCATGTACTGCTGCACCTGGTTTGTACCTCATTTTTGACTACAGAGTCTAACTATTGCTGTAGAACATTACTATTATTCATTAAAAACACATTCTCCATTTAATAATGGCTTAAAATAATTCCTGCTGGGGTTGTGGCTCAGCAGTAGAGTGCTCACCTAGCATGTGCAAGGCCCTGGGTTCGATCCTCAGCACCACATAAAAATAAATAAAAAGAAAGGCATTGTGTACAACTAAAAAGAAATATTAAAGAAAAATAATTCTAATGTATCAGAGGTTGTGATATGTATATTACCTTTAATTCTCACATTCACCTGGTCATCACTTCTTCACAAATGAGGAAATAGTCACAGCTACTGTGTGTCAGAGGTTCTGAACACAGGCCACCCTGCCTCCAGAAGTCAAGTTCTCAACCACCTCCTAACTTGCCAGTCCCAAAACAACATGAGCTCTGCAGGCATGGTGAGGGCTGGGGGTTCTTTTTATTTCATTTCTGATATAACTATTCCACAAGTAATTTTCAAAATTCTACTATATTCCAGATACTTTGCTGTAGCAATACTGAAATAAGAGCTAAGACTCTGTACTTAGCTCTTATTTCAATATTCAAAACTCTGTAAGTTAGTTTAAGGAACAGATGGTTGAGAACTTTGTTTGCCATGCCAAGGACTTTAGACCTTACCGTGAAGCAATTAAAAAAGTAATAAAGATTGCTAAAGTCAAGGAAGTGATACAATCAGATTATGTTTCATTTTTAAGAAATCTGACTGGCAATGAAAACTAGATGCATGAGAAAAATATTTCAGAAGTTGAATAGGTAGGCCTTGTTGCAAATTATACGTCAACTATAAGGGATCAAGTTGATGATGATGGCACTGATATAGACAGGGTACACAAAAAGATAAGCAAGCTGGAGAGAAGAGAAATATTTTAGAAATATAACTGAATCTGAAGTACCTGCAACCAGGTAGGAAAGTCCAAGGGCAATTAGCAATAGAAAAGTCAAGCTTAGAGAAGAGGTAGGCAGTCATTACTCTACAGTTATGAGAATCAACAAAATTGCAGGGAAGAGTACAGACAGAAAACACAAAATGGTATGGACACGTTACTCATTAATATAATATAACAGCTGTGGAAGGAAAAATGCAGTGAGAAGCTGATCAAGAAGTGTGAATAATCCTAGGTATAAGCAGCAGGAGATGAGAGAAAAAGCATTAGAGAACAGGAGAGGGAAAGACACCCTGAAGAGTTCACACAACATAGAAGGGAGAGAGGAGTGCAGTTTCAACAGTCAGGGAGGAGAAGAGGCAAAAGCTCACTGAATTTGACAATGCGAAGTTCACCAAGTGCAACAGTGAAGAGGGAAATTAGACGATAAATCATAATGGATTGGGGAACTAATGGAAATTAAGCAAAAAAAAAAAAAAAAGTTGGATGAGAGAGGAACCCAAACTCGAAAAAGTTATTTTAGACAAGTTAGAAACTTGAGCATACCAGTCAGGTCAAAGTATAGAGGTCCCAAGAGAAGAGACTGAATAGTGAGACAGGGGAATGACAACTAATGGAAATGGGTAGGGGGCGAGAAGAGGAAAACAGTCAGCCTCACAAAGGCATCTCTGTATCCTCTTCTTCAGTCTGGAGATCAGGAAGTAAGTTGTAGGTGGCACAGAGAAAGTGTTTATGAGAACCTAGATCCTATGGGGAATGGAAAGGAAACTACTGCAAAGCATTAAAAACAGAAACCTGCCAAGAAAGATAATTTTTGCTGAACCCAAGTTACTACATGACCAAAGTCCAGCAGCATGGAAATGATTAAGAGGAAGGTGAGGTCTGGAGGGCAGGGACACAGTGTGACAATAGTTGAGGAACAGCAGAGTTGAGAAAATTCAGACTTTTATTCTCCCAGAAAAGGAAGTGACTGGGCCATCTGGGTGAACTGTGACCTCTGTGATTAATATTCAGCAAGATGATTCTGACCAATTTGATGGGTTGATTAATACAAGTAATAATAGCTAGCTTTACATAGTAATTGGTAATTCATACAGCACTCTCACATTATCTCATTTATTTACAGAAACAACTAGTCCAAAATCTTAAAACCAGAAAACAGCTGAGGAAGGTATCAAATTCTAATCTCCTGCTTCAAAACTTGTGTTCTGCTGGGCTTGTTGGCACACGCCTGTAATCCCAGCAGCTCAGGAGGCTGAGGCAGGAGAACTGCATGTTCAAAGCCAGCTTTAACAAAAGTGAGGCGCTAAGCAACTCGGTGAGACCCAATCTCTAAATAAAATACAAAATAGGGCTGGGGATGTGGCTCAGGGGTCGAGTGCCCTGAGTTCAATCCCCGGTACCCAAAAAACAAAACCTGTGTTCTTTTTGGTACCACAGCCCTCCTATTAAGCTATATGAACTGTTTATTACGTAAGTCAGGCAGGAAAGGGGCCATCACAAGCTCATTCACGATACTGGATGTTCTGGTTCATAAAGAAGAAGTACCAACCCCACCCTGCTGTACCTCCAGACTAAAATGGTCTCCTCGACAACAGTCACACTCAAAATTTCTAGTTCTCTTTCCCCCATTATCTAAAATACTACAAAGAATTGATACTTTGTATACTAATTTTTTTGGGGGGGATATGGGGATTGAACTCAGGGGCACTCGACCACTGAGCCACACATCCCCAGCCCTATTTTGTATTTCTTTAGGAGACAGGGTCTCACTAAGTTGCTTAGTGCCTCACTGTTGCTGAAGCTGGCTTTGAACTCTCCATCCTCCTGCCTCAGACTCTCAAGCTGCTGGAATTACAGGCGTGCTTAAAACTGATTCAATTTTTCTTTTTTAAATGGTACAGTTTATTTAAAACATAAAACACCTACATGATTCTAAAGTAAAAAAGCTATAAAAATATGTATAATAAATCACCTCCTTCTACACAATCTACCTCATTTCCTAACTTCCCAGCTTACTTCTGTTACTGTTCTCCTGCAACTCCTAAGTTTCTCCATGCATATGCAGGCACACATAAATATATATTCACATAAATGGTAGTAAAATAAATGTACTATGCTTTGCCTTCTCCACCAACTACATGGATTGGTTTGTTTGTTTGGGTACCAGGAATTAAGCCCAGGGTTTAGTGTATGCTAGGCAACTGACCTACATCTCTGGCCCTCTTCACTTAACCATTGAACTTAGAAATTTTTATATATCAATGTATAAAGACATCATTACATCCATATTCAGTTTTTTTTGTTTTTTCTTTTCTTTAAGATGGGGTTTTGCTGTGTTGCCCAGGCTAGCCTCAAACTGTGATCCTCCTGCCTCAGCCTGCCTCAGCCTTCTTCAGCCTAAGCTGAGATTACAGACACATGCCAGCATGCCTGGCTCCTCATTCCTTTTG